GCTGGGAGGGGCCTCAGAACAGGAGATGTCAGGGCTGGGAGGGGCCTTAGAACAGGGGATGTCAGAGCTGGGAGAGGCCTTAAACAGGATGGCAGAGCTGAGGGGGCCCTGAGAACAGGGAATGTCACAGCTAGGAGGGGCCTTAAGAACAGAAGAGCACAGTGCTCACACTCTATGTTCCATAGTCTTAGGCCCCTCCTAGCTCTGACATTCTCTGTTTTGAATGTCTCAGCCAAGAGAGTCCTTGAAGATGACCCCAGGATCAAAGGTGGCCCGCAGCTCCCACCTAGCACTTGCTCTTTCCAGGAGCCCCAGCGGCCCGGGGAAAGCCCGACCTGAGGAGGAGTACAGTGAGTCTCTCCTCGCTCTGCCCCTCAGCCCCGCTCCTGGAATATGGGGCCTATGGGCCAGAGGGTAAGTCACCATGACCGCAAGGCTGGGCAGGCCACAGGCCCCCAGGCCCTCTGCTGCCTTGGGGCTCACAGCTCTATGATACCAACTCTCTCACCGACCAAATGCATAAAGAAGTTTCCAGAGGGAAGGCTAGAGCAGGTGGCTGGCACACAACCAGCACAATGCCGCCAAGCACTTCAGAGCCGGCAGGCGCCAGGGCCATCATTTGGCTCCTGCCCAGGATCTGCCTCTGCCAGAGCGAGGGACCTGGGTTCTGATCCTGACACTACTGCCTCCTAGCTGTGTGGACTGGAGGGCAGGCCCATTTCCCTGTTTCGGTCCCAGTTTCTTCCACTGTGAAAGGAGGGCTTTAGATGAGATGGTTCCTAAGGGCCTTCCAGCTCTAAAGTCCATGGCCCTAGCACCTGTCCGCTCTGTGATCCTAAGCCACTCACTTGCCTCTGACCTCAGTTCCCTCATCTCTACACTCGAAAGGCCTACCTCACAGGACGGTGGTGAGAAAGCATTCAGAATTGCTGACACACTGAAAGGCCATCAATGTCCTGCCTTCTGATCGTGCCCTCACTGTACAGTAGAAGCCAGAGGAGGGGCTCCACAAAAGTGGAGATGGGGCAGCTGTGTCCCTGACACACGCCCTTCAGTCTTTGCTTGAAGACTCTTCCCCACTGGGCGCCAGCCACGGGGCCTTCGGAGGGAGTCCACTCCACTTTGGGAAGGAGATGAAAGTTCTCCTCCCACCCCTGGCCGTTGCCAATTCTCCCACTGGGGCCAAGCAGAACAAAGCTAATCCTTCCACCGCCATGGCCTCCTACACTGTCTCTTCTCCAAGCTCAACATGCTCACTGCCTTTCATTGTCCCTCCAACAGCACAGACACAAACTGGTTACTTTCCAGTTCTTCAATGTCCTTTGTAAGCTGTGGTGCCCAGGACTGGACCCACTGAGCCAACCGTATGCAGGGTGACCTGGGAGGAAGGGCACGATGCTCCTCTGGACATTATCCCCCTCCTAAGGCAGCCTAAGGTCTGCCATAAACCCCTGGGGTTTCGGTTGCTATGCTGGGCTGGGGACTGTCATCCACTCAGACCCCAAGATCTCATTGACCCCCGCTGGCTCGCCACACCTCCTCAAGCCTGTACTTGAGCAGTTGATTTTTTGAACCCCAGTGTTGGACTTTACATTGATCCCTCTTAATTTCATACAAGGTGACCAGGGGAATTCTTAGGCTACAGCTACTCCCCCAAGGCCTCAAGCCCTTCCCAAGACAGGAAAGAAGGCGATACCTTACTGTGTCTAAACTCCCCATCATCATCGCCATAGTCTCGGACTTCCTCCTCATCTTCTACGTGATTGAGGGAAAGTTTGGGGATTTTGATTTTCTTCTGCATGACACTATTTTCAAGGTCAGTTTTGTCCTCTGAAAACATACATGAAAAAAACAAAGTGAGTTATGCAGGTAGAAAGATGCCCTCCGGGTGCCCAGGCATCCCAAGTGCTAGCTAACGCTTTTGGCAAGACCAGTTAAAAATGAGAAAGCTCCCTCATGGAATTATGGGACGGCTGAGATGCAAGGGATCCCAGAACCACTGAGCCCATCACTGTTCAAGGAGGGAGGGCCAGGAACATGCCCAAAGTCACACAATGAGTCAGTGGCACCACCGAGACGCCCAGGCCAGAACTTTCCATGACAGCTTCGATGAGCTCTGGGGCCCTGACGGGGGCATCGTGAAAGATCTCCAAATGAGATCCCAGGAACTGGACTCCTCTTCCCTTTCTCCTCAAGCGTCCCCCAATCCCAGCATAACCTAGAAGGGAGCATTTGGCACTCGACCAGCTCAAAGACAAAACAAAGCTTGTGCTGGGGAAGGGGATCACATTTTGGATGTGTACGGTGTTTTAGTGGATGTGATTCTGCGGGGTAGGGTCTTTCTGAGATACACTTTGGATGAATTTCTGTTCTCCTGAATCTCCACATCCCATTAGAGAAGGATGATCATGGAGAAATAAGCACCATCTAAGTCAGGTATTGTGAAGAAACAAAAGACCAAGAATCCCCAAGTTCAGCTCTGAGCCACGGCCTCCCAGGGCTTGGTGACCCTGGGCAAGGGTCTGCAAAGATGTCTGCTCAGCTCAGGGCTGCTTCTCCAGGCTGGGACCTGGAGCAGCTCCGGGAATGGAAGGGAATCCCACTGGACTCTGGACACTTGCTTCTATATTAGGGGAGCCATCTGTGATGCTGAGACATGCTGAGACGACAGAAG